GCTAGGCTCCAGGTCATAGAAGAAAACAGAGGCCAAGGGGCTTGTCCCAGTGCCACCACTGATACCCAGCAAAGCCAGAACTGAGATGGGACCCTGGCCCAGGGTCCCCACCCCGCAGGCTGCGCCTCCCCATGCCTCACCCGGACCCTGGGGGTGCGCAGGTAGACCCCCGCCCTCTCCAGCTCCACGTTCTCCCCACAGTCCCAGCTGGTCAACCAAACAGCCTTCCGTGCCGCTCGGAGGGAGAGGAAGGGTGGGGAGTGCCGGAGGTCCTCGTGAGACTCGTCATCCCCCAAAACAGAAGTGAAACCCCAGCTGTCCAGCCAGGGCCTCCTAGACCAGAGCTGGGCGGGCAGCCCAGGCATCTGCAGATGTTCTGGTGGAAACCCAAGGACCCCAGGGACTCCTGGTGGGCCGGAGGGGAGCCCCTCACCCAGCAGGGAGAAGGTCCCTCCTGGCCCCACGTCCCCCCACAGGGCAGCTTCCCATATGTGAGGAGGGTGGCCCAGTCCCAGGGCTGGGGCCCCCACGTCTTGACCGCATGCGGTGGGCACAGGTGAGAAACCAGGATTGAGCGTCACCCCCTAGGGCTGGATGGAGGGCCCGTGGGCGGGGGGAGAGGCTCCTGCTGAAGAGGGAGGTGGGGTCCCAGGGGGCCCATGCTGGGGATCTTGGCTGCCCCCCAGGAGGCAGGGTCCCATCTTCCCAGGCCCCAGAGGGCTTGGACAGAAGACGGAGTGTCTGGTAGGGCCCCCTCCTCACTGTACCCCCCAGAGACCAACCTGGCCCCCAGCTGGCGGCCCGCCCCCCAGCAGCAGTCTGGCCTGGCTCCTCCTAGGACTCACGAGTCACCAGGATTTCTGGTGCAGGGGGCAGAGCACAGGGCCGTCCATGTGCTTGGTGAGTACCTACCACCCAGCAGCACCTGGCCTCGCCAGCCAGGAACATGCGGCACCTGAGTGGGCAGGAGTGGGCCCAGCCTGCGAGGGTCCAGGTGGCAGGCACCTGAGCCCATTCACACCTGGGCTCCGGCCCATCTGCCACGGACAGGCTGGGGACAGAGGTGTGCCCCTGTGCTCCCCCTGACTGCCT